ACCATGTTGACCAGGATGGTCTCGATCTCTTGACCTCGTGATCCACCCGCCTCGGCCTCCCAAAGTGCTGGGATTACAGGCTTGAGCCACCGCGCCCGGCCAGGGGGACGCATTTCCTTCGTCACGAGATAAACACAGGCCTCCTCGGAGGCTCTGGCCACTCTTGCCCCCGTTTTCTCCCCTCTGCCTCTGGCATCCCTGGTCTTCCTTCCCTGTGCTGCCTGAGCACTCCTGTTGGAGGGGCTTCCAGCCCCTAGGTCCCCATCTGAGGATCTTCTCTGAGTGGCGGAGGTGAAGTCTGTCTGATACCCCAGCTTTGTTCCCCTGGGCCTCCTCATCTCCACTCCACTAAAGCAACACACACCCCTGGGCGCCCACTGCCATCGGGAGGGGCTCCAGCTCCCAACTCTCCCAATTCATTCAGCATTTGGCCATCCATGTTCTTCAGTTCTTCCCCCTTCCATCTGTGCTCCCAGCGCAAACTATGGCCCCTCCCTTTCCTCCTGGTCGCTTGCTTCCTTATAGGAGCCCTTAAGTGCTTCCCACTCCAGCCCGGAGCCTGTGGTCTGGTACTGGTCAGTCTGCCCGGGAACGTTCCAGCATTGGGTCAGCCCAGGGTGAGCTGTGGAATGCTGAAGGGCCGCACAGCCACGGAGCAAGCACGGAGGAGATGCTGGGAAGCTCATTCTCCTGCCCCTCCTCACCTCCTGCCACCACCTCCCACCATGCCTCAGCAGATGGTCCTGCCTCTCACTTCACGGAGCAAAATAGCTTCTGCAGCTTTCCTGTCACCTACAAATCCCACTGCACACAGGCACGCCGGCCTTCCCCTTCCCCTGCCCTGGGAGGCCCTTCGGACCAGCTGCTCCCTGTGACCCCTCCTCTCTCCCTCCCCTTCCCCCCTCCCCCTCCCCTCCCTCCTTCCCTCCCCCCCCCCCTCAGCACCTTCCACTGTCCTCTGCCGGGACCCTCTCTTGACCCTGCCTTCATTTCCACTCTGTTGATTCTTTCCTTACCCAAATAAGCCTGCTCAGTTTTCTTCCCCCTCACCCCACCCCTCACCCCACCCCTCACCCCTATCAACTCTTGTGGTCTGTGTCCTTCCCATTAGCTTCTCCCTTATCTCCTGCGCTGCCTGTACTCTGGCATCTCCTTCACCAGCCCCTGAAAGGCTTTCGCTGAAATCACCTTTGACCTTCATGTTGGCTGAGTCCAGAGAGCATTTCCAGGTCCGATCTGACTTCCAGGCTCTTAGTCATTTGACTGGGTTGGCCACCTTCTCCTTGAAACTCTGTCTCCTGCTGGCTTTTTTCCACCTTCTCCTGGCTGCCTCTCTGGTAGCTCCTTCCTTGGAGCGCCTTCCTGTGTTTTTCCCACCATGCCCCAGGACTCCATCCTTGGCTCTAAGCTTTTCTGGTCTGTGAAGGATCCTTGAATGTTCTCATCCAAACCCATGGTTTAAATAAGATTTGTTTAAGCAAGATTTAACAATTAATGGCCGGGCACGGTGGCCCACACCTGTAATCCCAGCACTTTGGGAGGCCGAGGCCGGCGATCACCAGAGGTCAGGAGTTCGAGACTAGCCTGCCCAACACGGCGAAACCCCATCTCTACTAAAAATACAAAGAATTAGCTGGATGTGGTGGCTGGCACCTGTAATCCTAGCTACTTGGGAGGCTGAGGCAGGAGAATCACTTGAACCCGGGAGGCAGAGGTTGCAGTGAGCCGACATTGTGCCACTACACTCCAGCCTGGACCACAAGAGCAAAACTCCCTCTCAAAAACAAACAAACAAACTAAAACAATTAAATGGAGACTCACCATTGACTACCTCTAGATTGGACTTCTTCCCCTACTCCACGCTCCAGACTCTTGTATCCAATGATCCATTGGATCCCTGTACTCGGACGGCCTGCCACCACCTCATATTCAACATCCTCACATTGAACATCGATTTTCCCAACACCTGTTGCTCCTCCCGCATCCTCTATTTCAATGAATGGCACACGATCTCCCCAGTCACCAAAGCCAGACACACAAGTCCTGGAGAAAACCTCTGCTCCGGGCCCACCACATTAAATCATATATTTCATCTTATCTGACGTGGAGCATGAAATGATTAAACTGCAATGTCCTGAGTCACTGTTTCCCAGTGATTGTGACCTAGGCAGGGTCACAACAGTCATATTTCTGTTCCTGAAGAGGAGCTGGTTAGGTTGGGACTCAAAGAAATTCTGGCACAAAGGTTCAAAGGCACTTTCATTGGTCCTGAAAGAGAAACTGGAGAGACCAGAGTGCTCAGATTAACAGGCAGGCTGCCGCAGCTTCCCACTGTAGCCACCCGGCAGAGCAGGAGGGAGGGACTCACTGACAAAGCCCCAGGACTACCGGCTGCAGTCTCTACTTCGGAGGGAGCAAGCCATTGAGAGAGATGCACTAAACACTGAGCTCTGTGGCTGAGGGAAGGACCTGAATTCTCCCTCTTTTTTTTTGAGACGGTCTCACTCTATTGCCCAGGCTGGAGTGCCACATCGAATTCTGCCTCTTATCTCTGCTCCAGCGTCCTATCTTGAAGGACTGTGTCCTGACCCCAGTGAGAGACATGACCTGTCTGACCCTCCCCACCCTCCCCGGAAACTTTCCAGTTCTCAGTGAGTTTCTGGGAGCTGCCCTGCCCAACACCCACCTGGGAAGGGTGTAGACTTTATCTTGCTGGGCTGAGAGAGGGAAGTCTTTCCCAATGCTAGTCTATTATAACACACTTTGGGCTGGGCACGGTGGTTTACACTTGTAATCCCAGCACTTTGGGAGGTCAAGGCAACGGGTTGGATGCCTTGAGGCCAGGAGTTTGAGACCAGTCTGGCCAACATGGTGAAATGCTGTTTCTACCAAAAATACAAAAACTAGCCAGATGCTGTGGAGGGCGCCTGTAATCCCAGCTACTTGGACAGCTGAGGCAGGAGAGTCCCCTGAACCTGGGAGTTGGACATTACAGTGAGCTGAGATCCCGCCACTGCACTCCAGCCTGGGTGACAGAGTGAGACTCCATCTTAAAAAAATAAAATAGGCTGGGCCCGATGGCTCAAGCCTGTAATCCCAGCACTTTGGGAGGCCGAGGCGGGTGGATCACAAGGTCAAGAGATCAAGACCATCCTGGTCAACATGGTGAAACCCCGTCTCTACTAAAAATACAAAAAATTAGCTGGGCATGGTGGTGCGTGCCTGTAATCCCAGCTACTCAGGAGGTTGAGGCAGGAGAATTGCCTGAACCCAGGAGGCGGAGGTTGCGGTGAGCCGAGATCGCACCATTGCACTCCAGCCTGGGTAACATGAGTGAAACTCCGTCTCAATAAAAATAAATAAATAAATAAATAAAATAAAATAACAAAACACACACACACACAACTCTCTCTCTCTCTCTCTCTTCAAAACATGATGGAGTGTCTCCTCTTAAGAAAGAGGTGTT